AACAAACTTGCGTGGTACTCTGCACAACTTTAGAAGTGTGTGATAAAACTGCCAAAGTTAGAGCAGAGCTAATAACTGCTTCCCAAGTACAGAAAAGGGAAAATACTTTAGATAGTACCTGTTATTTCTGGGTAAGATTTAGCTACAAGAGATGTTTACAGCTGTCTTTAATTGACAAGCTGGCAAGTTTCATGAAAAAGGGAATTGCATTTTCTTAGAATTTTTAATGTGTGTGTAGGTTTGGGTGTTTCTGAAATTGTATTTCCTCTAAGGTCACAACTGTTACACAGTCAATCTGCTATCCCAGACCTTCTCTTTGTAAGAATTCGTTCCCTAAAGATTGCTTTCGGGTCTAAAACCTGGACCAATGGGGTCCGCAGACACAGTGTGTGTTCGCATCCTTTTATTAGTGGAGCATTGTAAATGCTTCATGTAAATCTTCCTGAAGCACAGGTAAGAGATGCTGCCTTTCTGTGCAGGGAACAAACAGGCTGACTTAAGATGACAGTAAAATTTCTAGTTGGAAGCTACTTCACAGGTCTCTTAGTCTGGCCTCCTGTTCAACACAGGGCCAGTGCTGAGGTCAGACCGGGTTGCTCAGGATTTTGTCCAGTTGGGTCTTGGAAACCTCAGAGGACAGGGACAACGCAGCCTCTCTGGGCAGCCTGCTCTGCTGCCTGCCTGTCTCCATGGGGAAAAGGTTATATGCAGAATACAGTCTTGTAACCAGTCTGTACATCTCTTCTTTCAGCTTATGCCTGTTGTCACTCCTCTTCCCGCCTTGCACTACTGTAAGGAGCCAGCCTGGCTCCATCTCCTCAATTATCCCTCACAGGGAGCTACTGTGAGGCTGCTCTTGCGTCCACCTGAAGCTGTCCCTTCTCATGGGGGCAGTCCTCCAGCCCCAGCCACCTTGGTGGCTCTCTGCTGACCTCACTCTACTTAATTGGTCTTTCCTGTGTCAGGGGGCCCAAAACCGGACACTCTAGATGTGGTCTAACAAGTGCTCAAGTAGAGGCATGTAATCCCTTCTGTTGATCAAGCTGTGCATCTGTTCATACAGCCCAGGGTACCCTTAGCTGCCTTTGCTGCTTGGGCACGCAGCTGGCTCACGCTGAGCTTGCTTCTTGGGTCTGAACCATTTGCCATGACTACCTGCTATAGCATTTAAAGTATATTCAAACAAATTGTTGGTGCAATATGTGGCAGCAGTGCAGAAATGTAGTGTTTTAAAAATACATTTCTATTTCTGTGCTGTTGCTCTGTTGCAGGTTCATTCACTGTTTCAGATTTGGTAATTAATACTGTGGTGTGAGTAGATCAATACAATCCTAATAATAGCATCAGGATATTTTTAATCACAGATACAAAATACTAGCTATAAAAATGTACCATATTTAAAATAAACAACCAACTTGTGCTGTTTGTTATTTCTCCTTTAGACCCTAGTGATATGCTTGAGGAGGATTTTTTAAGCACTCTAAAGTGCTTACTTTTCTACTGTGTCTTAAAATGTCTGGATGAACCCAACAACTCTGAAGCTAAGGCTCTCCAAAAGCTCTACTATATGATTGATTAAAAAGATCTGTTTATTGTGCATGAACTTGCATCAGATTTTATAAACTATGTGCTGTTTTAAAAGCAGGATGGAATGTGCTTATACTTAATCCAGACCCTTCACTGAAGCTAATATATAGCTTCAATAAAAGTATTCATTACAGCAGCTTGGGTTTTACAGATTGCTTGCAACTGTAAAGGCTAAAATGAGGTAGTATCAAGGGTGAAGAAAAGTTAAGCCTAGCTTAGTATTTTCCTGCCTGTCACAAGAAACAGCCACTTTGGGGTCACATCACCAAAGTTACAAGCAGTTATTCTGAAAGGATATGATACATGGTGATACACTCTTCTGGTAGCTTAAACATATACAATATTTATTGCAAACGTTAAATTCCAAAGTTGCAAATTGTTAACAACCAATTTTGTACTGCTGTTAGACACATGTATTGACAGATAAAATCTAAGGCAGATAAAAATCTTGTTAAGCAGTGTTATAACTTTCTTGCAGCATTAATCTGCTGCTACAGAAGCCACAAGCACAGATGAAAACTCTGCTTAAATATTCTTGTGAAGTGAGATAAAAAACAAATGGCAAAAGATAGGTTACAGTTTGGATTATAAGCAGTGTTATCTTTTAAAGTGATTTTTTTAGCCTTAGCTGAAAAAAAAACAAACATTGAAAGCTTACATTTGTTTCTGGTTTCATTGCCATTCCCCATTCTTACTGTTTCTGGGGGAGACATCAAGGATTTTTTAAAGTTAGAAGCAAAATATGCAATCAGTGACTCAAATCTAATCATTACTCGGGTATCTCAGTATCCATTTCTCTTATAAAACTGGGCCCTTGCAACCACATCATTGGCATAGTCATTGTGTGATGTGCCAATATCCATTTCGTCGTAGCTCTGGACATTTTTATCTCCAGCATTATAGGCTGAAATCCCACCTGAAATGAGAGTGAAAGAAACACATAAACAGAGACGATACTTTGTCAGTAAATAAGGAAGCAAACAAACAAAAATCATAACATAAATGCGTTGCTTTAGTTTGCAGCTCTCTTTTCACCAGTATTACATTACCATTTCCAGCCATTTTTGCCACTGGGGTGTTCCTTTTGTGTTTTAACTTTGTGAAGGAATCATAATTTCCTCCTTTACATCCCGTCATGGTAATCATTGTCCCATTGCTGTATTTTGCTAATGTAACATCATCAGTTGTTTGCTTCTTTCTGTGCATATGCCTTCATGTCTCCTTGTGTTAATGACCTTGGACTTACTGGTACTGTAGCTGGAATAAAGGGACCCAACCATGATGACTTCAGCTGTACTCAGTGCTCAAGAATATAACCATGTTTCTTTCAGAGAGGAACATACATTTTCAAAATTAATGTGTTCCTTCTTTGGAGTTGCCAGCATAGGAGAATTTTGTAGGTGGGTATGGCAACATAAAGCAAATGAAGTGGAGAGAGGAGGAGAAAAACCCATCCTTACTCCTTGCAACTGAAAAATGTCATTATATTTGACAAGTTTTCCAAAAGCGTGCTAGAAAGCTAACCACACCTTATTCCTCTGTTCCTTTCAGTGAAAGTCAAGGGACATTATTCCATACTGCAATAAAATTAACAGGGGGGGGCTGGGATGTG